GGCACCTACGATTATAAGCATGTCTTGCTTATAATCATAGGTTCCTAGAGCACAAAAGTAGGGAACAGAACCAAATGTCATTGAAAAATTTGGTCTCAGTGTCTTGTTTCCTCCTGGATGCTTGCTGAAAAGCTTTGAATTTCATCTTCTTCAGTATTTGTACAGTAATTGGAGGATAGACTTGAATAATGGTTATGTTGATAGGTTTTCCCCAGAGTCTGAATGATATTATTTGGTTAGATCTTGCATTATTGGCCCTAACTGCCTGCTCTATATCTTGCTTTAGTATTAGAGCTGCTCCATTTCTTCTGAGTTTGTAGAATACTTTTTAGTTGTCTGACTGAAAATATCTCACTTTATTCTACTTTAGTTCACTGACACCAAGCAAGACAATGTTTATAAGTTCCATTTCTTGCTTTATGATTTCCAGGTTACCCTGATTCATACTTCTCATGTTCTATGTGTCAGTTATATATAATCTGCAGCATCAGAATTTCCTCTTACATCTGTACACACCAACCACTAGACTTTCTTTCAGCTTTAATCTAGTTGCATCATTAGCAACAGAATTATTCATACTTTTCCTTTTATCTTCTCCAGTAGCTGATTGAGTGCTTTCCAACCTGTGTGGTTCATCTTCCAGAACTATCTCTTGTTTTGTTTTGGACTGTCTCATGATAGGGTTTTCATAGAAAGGAAAAGTCCAGCAGAGGTTTACCATTATCTTCTTCTGTGCAGTAGGAACAGCTGTTAGCTTGAGTGTCACTGCCATTGCCTCGTCCACCAGTTTACCTTCAGCCATTGCCACTGCCCTGTAGCTGCCTTGAAGAGGGTGGATGTGTCCTGGTCGGGTGACTCACCTGTGACCATTCTGCCTTGGGTGACCTTGTGAAGAGTCTAGGCTTGTAATGGAGTCTGGCCTCCTGATGGCATTGCTTTCAACTTCACTGACACACTCAGACCCCTTCAACATATAAAGGTGGGCATCCAAGAAAGGGAGCTGCTGTATGAGACATTATTTATTTATATAGGAGAACCAGATAGTCCAGGGCTGTGGAAGTTATTTGGATGACATAATTATAAAAGAAAGGAAAATCATTGGCTCTTGATTCTGTTTGATAAAGTGAGGATTTCCTCATAAAATCTTTAAAAAAGAGGTAGGTACAAAATTCTCCTCAGCCTTGCTACCAGAGTCAATTTCTTATATATAAAAGGGCCAATTTTCTAAAGCTTTTTTTTTTTTGCACAAAAGCTGTTCTACTCCAGAAGGATATAACTCTCTGGTTGACTAAAGTGTTCCCCTTGCATTTCCACAGAGACCCTCCACAGCAAGTAAATTCTGGACTTATCCAAAGCATCCCCATCTCAGGTTTTAATCCATGCTGCCAGGAATTCTCTAACACCTGGGAAGTCAGATCCCCAAAGGATTCCAGACTTGGTAAAATGAATTGTTTAAACATTTCTCAGCCAAAAATGTACTCTGGACTGGTAAAAAAAATATTTTCCACTAGATCTTGTCTCCTTTTGGCTATGTCACACTGACTGGACCAACAACAGAACTGGGCCATTGTTTCTACCTATTCCTGCTCTTGCAAAATGACAGCTATCACAAACCACATTTAATACTCTGTGATGACTGTCTCTTGGTTATATCTTCGAAAACTGGCAACGCCACGGTCTGCTAATCTGCATTTTGTTCATCAGGTATAGTCGTATATATGTGCAGTATTAATTTTATATATTTGTTTGTGAGGCGTCTTTTTGGACCTTTTAATATACATTATTCCTCCCTGCCTTCCAGGAATAGATTCCTGAGAATATACAAAATAAACTGTTTTTCCTGTATATTACCAGTCCTTCTTCACACCTGCAAAAGCATAGAGAGCCATGGCACAGCGTGGCCAAGATGATGCTAGGAACAAAACCCAGAAGACAGTTTTCGGATGCAGCTACTTTAACACAAGAAAAATTCTTCAAAGAGCTGAACTCTTTCTGCCCCTCTCACAGGAAGGGGTCTTGTGGGACGAAGAGAAAACAGCTTTCCTTTTAACGAGTCATCGTATTTATGGACCTTTCATGAGTTTTGTTTGAAAATATGAAAGTAGATGGACAAACCTGTTTCCAAAGGGAGCAGAGACGAGGTAGGAGTATGTGAAGGGCAAATGGAGGATGAATCATCATTTAAAAAAAGAATCAGGTGCCCTTTTTGCCTTAAAACAAATCTCTTATTTCAAGAATGATAGATTGCCATAATTATATGTAGCTATATATCCATGTTGTTCCAAAGCAACTGATAATCTCAAACATGGGTCAAATTGGGAGGGGGGAAAATAAAAATGGCATTTCTGTTTGGTCAGATATTTCAGGTTTAGGTTTATGCTGATATATATTTACAAGCAAAATGAGGTGGTGAAATCCAGTAGAGTGAATGTTGTCTGGCCCAAGCACAGTACACTTCTCCCTTCAGCAACGCTGGTCTCCTGTGTAGTTCAAAATCTTCAGGAACAGGTGATACTTTTATTGGACCACCACGTAAAGAAAATAAAACAAAAGCAAAAATGAAAAAAAGCTTCCTATGCTAATTTATCTTCCTCAGAATGTGCACCTAGTGCTTGTGGGTGGTTCCAAAGAACATGATTTACAGCCTGAAGAAGATAATTATCATTGATTATCACTGTTTTTTAATTATTATTATTTCTTTAGTGATCCAATAAAGGTATCTCCGGTTCCTGCATTGTTATTGTTTTGGGGACCACATAGCCTTTTCTTGACAAAGCATAAAGACCTGATACACAAACACACAGAGACACAGAAAAATTCTTTCTATTATGATCCTCTTCCGTAGCATTGACAATCCTTTCCATACAGTACCGTGAGCCTTAAAGTTGCTTGTTAAAGTTCCTTGTTAAAGTTCTGATCTACAAGCTGAATTAGAGAAGCTGTATTTGAGGGTATCATTGACTATGCAAAAGCCTTTGACTGTGTGGACCACAACAAACTATGGCAAGTTCTTAAAGAAATGGGAGTGCCTCACCACCTTATCTGTCTCCTGAGAAACCTATATGTGGGACAGGAAGCAACAGTTAGAACTGGATATGGAACAACTGATTGGTTCAAAATTGGGAAAGGAGTACGACAAGGCTGTATATTGTCCCCCAGCTTATTCAACTTATACCCAGAATACATCATGCGGAAGGCTGGACTGGAAGAATCCCAAACCGGAATTAAGATTGCCGGAAGAAATATCAACAACCTCCGATATGCAGATGACACCACTCTGATGGCAGAAAGTGAGGAGGAATTAAAGAACCTTGTAATGAGGGTGAAAGAGGAGAGTGCAAAAAACTGGGAAATAGAAGGGGAAGATATGGAGTCAGTGTCAAATTTTATCTTCCTGGGCTCCATGATTACTTCAGATGGAGACAGCAGCCCTGAAATTAAAAGGCGCCTTCTTCTTGGGAGGAAAGCGATGACAAATCTTGACAGCATCTTGAAAAGCAGAGACATCACCTTGCCAACAAAAGTCCGAATAGTCAAAGCTATGGTTTTTCCTGTCGTGATGTATGGAAGTGAGAGCTGGACCATAAAGAAAGCAGACCGCCGAAGAATTGATGCCTTTGAATTGTGGTGCTGGAGGAGACTCTTGAGAATCCCCTGGACTGCAAGGAGAACAAACCTATCAATTCTAAAGGAAATCAACCCTGAGTGCTCACTAGAAGGACAGATCCTGAAGCTGAGGCTCCAGTACTTTGGCCATCTAATGAGAAGAAAAGACTCCCTGGAAAAGACCCTGATGTTAGGAAAGTGTGATGGCAAGAGGAGAAGGGGACAACAGAGAATGAGATGGTTGGACAGTGTCATTGAAATAACCAACATGAATTTGGCCAGAGTCTGGGAGGCAGTGGAAGACAGGAGGGCCTGGTGTGCTCTGGTCCATGGGGTCACGAAGAGCCAGACACGACTAAACGACTAAACGAAATGATTTGAGGGTAACTATACCACTACGACACCTTAAAGTGTTGAACTCACAGGATTCTGAGTGGCCAGTATTTATTAAATATTTATTTATTTGTTTATTGGCATATTTGTTTATGAATTTAAAAATCCATGTATAACCAAAACTGTGCTGTTCAGACCTGTGCAACCCAAGAGAGAAGCGTATCTGGAATCCTTGGTTAGTTGCTACTGTTCCAGAACAATGGCAAGGCTCAATGGTGCCAATTGGCTTATGCCAAGTGGCTATGTTGACAAACTGACATTTTAAATTCCCTACAATCTGGAGTGATGCTACATCACTTCCAACATAAAGCCATACACTCCAGCTGCCCGGCAAGCTTGTAGCCATAGCGATGTTAGGATAATGAGTGAACCACTAGAGGGCCCGTTGTCAAAATCTCCCTCAAACCTAGAGCACATCCTTTAATATTTGAAAATGGGTTGCAATTTAGTGTGCAGGGAGGGGTAGGACATTTTTTTATTGCTCTCCCATGAGGCAAACGTCTTGCAAATGAAGAAATAAATAAATGCACCAAACTGCTTCTGCAAGGAAGGGTCTATCCTAGTTTATCCCTTGTTGTGCTAATTTTCTGTCTGCAGTGCATTCTTAGTGGAATAGAGCATTCAGAAAAGGGATTCTTCAACTACTGACTTAAATAAGATTGTCCATTCTGTCATTTCAGGATTCTTGTGTGCTATTCCATCCTCTTTTATTGTGTGTGAAGTGAAGTCATTGTCAAGCCCTCTCAATTTATTTGGGATGATAAGAACCAAGGAACAAGATTAAGCACTGCAAAGACTAGAAAGCTCCAGACAAAAGCATAGGCTGTGCCAGGCACATCTGAGACAGGGATTGGCAGCAAACTGAGGTGCTTTGCTGGTGAGCCCAAAGAAGCGGGGCTGACTTCAAAGCTCTCATAGGGCTGTCCATATCACCTGATCTGCTATGGTTCATGGCCTTTTACGAATTTTTCCATACAAAATGAAAGAAATCTACTGAAGCATTTTTTACTGGAATATTTTACTTCGGTTTCAATGTCCTTCACTGTGCATACACCAAAAAGCAATCTGGGCACATTCGGATTTAAAAGGAACACAGACCACTACAAGATGTTCTTCATAAGGTTAGGCCTAGCATTCTGTTCGAATGGTAAAAATGTTCTCATCTGGCATTGCCTCCTTTATAGCAAATAAAATTCAAGTCCTTAAGAAAGTCTCCCGATACAACTGATGGTGGATGTTTTGCTCAGTTACACGTTGTCATGGGAACAAACATTACATTCATTCCCTCTGTATTTCCTCTGTATTAATACTTGCAGGAGAGAGAAAATGCTTGTTGGTTCAGAAGGAATGGAATATTAAAAGTCCGCTCTTATTTTCCACATGGAAATGGGGTACGCAAGATGTAAGAGTGACATTTTCAAATTGGTTCTGAATGCTGCTTGTACTGTTTGAGTATTAAGGATGACATTACACAAAATCTTCAATTACTTTAGAAAACAGAATAAAATGTATATCTGTAGCAAATTATTTCGGTCAATAATGCTTACTCTGACTGTTGGTGCTAATTAATTTACTGGTTTGTATAAGACATCGGCCAGTATCCTACGAAGCTTCCATTGAGCAGAAAGTCCCACCAACACAATAATGCAGGGCCTTGCAATGTTGCCACTGTGCAAGTTCTCACCATGGAGGTCACTACTCCCACAACAGCTATGCTTGCACAAGCAGCACAATCCTGATGCAAGTATGTGATCCCACCAATATCCTGCTTATATTGGTGGGGCCTTTTGCTCAGCAGAAACCTGATTACATACTAGCCATTTTTCTTAAATAGCCCTGGAAACATTTCCATTTATCAATAACTGATCATTATTGACACACAACCTGCTTTCTTTGGGAAGGGCACGATTACATCCTCCCCTATTGGCAGGGAACAAAGAATAACAGAACATCTGCAAGGCTAAACACTGCTTTGCTAAGAATGATGATATAAAATACAGTGGAAGGTGATAAAAAGGAGACATTTGAGTCTAGGGTCCTTGCAGAGATCTAAAAGATTTCCTTCAAACGAGAGAGACACGGATTTGGCATCAACTCAGCTCCCCATCACTCGGCTCTTCTTCGTCGGAGCTTTGCCTTAGTTTCTTCTTGCCGATTTCTCCAGGCAGCAATGATAGCATCATCATCCATTTCTTCTTCCTCCTCCCTACGAGTACTTTGCCTGCTTCTAAATGACTGCCTTGAGGAAAAACATTCTTTCCTTTCTTCTGACTTTTCTTCTTCTCCATTTTCTTCAGACTTCGCAAAACTCTGAGTGAATTTTCTCTTGGCTCCAAATTCAGCCACATCTGAACTGGATTCCTCCTCATGCTGTTCCAAGTGATGCAATTTGACCCGACTCCGTGTGGATGGACCAGAGGATTCTGAGCTGCTGGATTGTTCTGGGGTTCTTCTGTCAAAATATGCCTCTGAACTGTCTTCTGTGGAACTTGTTTCACTTTGTTTTGACCGTGTAAATGTATATACCTCCTTGTCTTCCCGTGCAGTGGCAGAGGATGTTCTTTGCAAGTTATCTTTGCCCTGATAAGCTGAGTATCTGTCTATTTCTTCTCTTTCAGTTCTGGAAATTCTGTAGCTAGAAGCTTCAGTGTCAGTTTCTCTAAATGTGGATGATCTCCTGTATTTCTCTCCACTGGTGTCTGTACAGTCCTGGTATGAGGACCTTTCATCTGCTTTCAAACCTTTCAGCCACTTGTTTACATTGTTCTCTACCTCTGACCTTACAACATAATCTACATTGGCAAATTGGCCAGAATGAATGGACGCTGTGTCACTCCGATTAGGATCTGATTGCAAAGAGTACTTGCCAATGATTGTGTTTCCTATATTATTTTCTGGCTTCTCATCTTGTTCATAGCCTTCAGATTTTTTCTTCTTAAATAAAGTGCTACGTTTATTATCACTAATAAGCTTCTCAGTCTGGTAATCTGACATTTTCTCTTTCATTTCCATTTGCATCTTCTTTTCTTTTCTGCTAAGGTTCTTTAGGTCAACTTCACCGGCAAAGAGACTGAAAAGAGGTTTGCTGGTTTGTGTGGCTTTCCTGCTTGAGCTGCATTCTCCTGTTCTTCCACTCAACAAGGTGTTACAAGACAGGATGGACTGAGTGTCAGCATACTGGTTCTCTTGGTGAAGCAATGAACTAGCTAGGGACAAGCCACTTTGTGAACTAAGCAAAGATGTCTTGTCATCATCTACATACCTAACTGGATGACCTGACTTAATACTAGAACCCATAACTGAAGAAGGACGGGACAACATCAAGATCTCACTTTGTTTCTGAGCAATAGTTTCACTAACAACATTTGCAATCCAATTCTGAATACTGGCTACTGATATTGTGTTGTCTGGCCCAACGGGCAGGTTGGGTGCACTTGTTGCTACTGCATGAGTTGACATAGCCCCACAACTACTTTGGGCTGGAAAGAAAGATGAACGGTTGGTCTGCATACTCAATGCTGAAGCAGAATCCTCTGCACTATTTATAGATGCTGCTGATGGACCAAATGCTGACAATGGGATACTTCCACTCACTGTGCTCTCTGCATCCCAACTGCAGAGTGATTGGCTTTCTTCCAAGAGTTTCTTTGAATGCTCAAGTAACTCCATTCTTTTTTGCTTTCTCTTGGCAGATACAGAGTCTTCACCTTTAGCAAGCTCCACAATCTCATCCTTATTCTCACTGCCAATTTTTTTCTGGTGTTTGGCCTTCCAGGCCTGATAAGCGGTCAAGTTGATTTCAGACAAGTTCTTCTCCTCTTCTGCATCCTCTTTACTTTGCTGGCTGCTGTCTTCAGTTTTGGCTTGCTCAGAGGCTTCCAAATCTTTTTTGTGAAAGCCAAACTGGATTCTTTTGATCTTCCATCTTTCCAAAGCAGTCAACTTGTCTTTGTTCTTCTGACAGAAATTATAAAAGGTACTAGCATCAGATAATACACTTTCCTCATCTAGGTCCTTTTCCTTTGTTCCATTTTCTTGCATTAGATTCTCATCACCATGTCTCCTTCTGGAACAATATCTCTGAGCAGCTTCCTTTTCTATTGCCATCATCCTCTCATTCCACATATCCCAGCTGCTTTCTGTAGACATAGAATCTGTGCGTCCTCTCCTCATTCTGTTAATACCACTTGCTTCCAGGTGCTGTTTCAATATTCTGATCTCTTGGCTACTCACACTTTCAGCATCACTTGCATCATTTATGGGGCATGGCCTTTCCCCTATGCTAGATTCTCTCTCTTCTTCCTTGGCAAACAAGTAGCTTTCCATCTGGTACTTCTCATTTCTGCACTGCCACTCTTGTATCATCTGACCTGTATCATCCTCAGATTTCTCCTGCAACTGAAAAGTAAGGTCTGAAGATTTCCTTTCTCCATCCTTGTTGGAAAGGTTCCTTGCAGGCAAACCTTGCTTCTTCCTCCATTCTTCATAGAGCTCTTCTTCCTCTTCTTCACTGATAAGAGTAGGCTGTTTAGAAACCAAGCTTGATTTTCCAATTGAAGAAGCACTCATTACACTTCCCAGGAGGCTTGTTGTGTCTTCTTCCTCAACTGTGATAGAATGGGCTTTGGCTCCCATAATACTCCCAGAATCTTCTCTACCAGATAACAAGGAACAGCTGCCAGCTCTAAGAACAGAACTTTGGCTACCAGCTGAGTCATCAGAATCTTCTGCACCTTCCTCTTGTCGTTCCTCCAATAACTTTTCATTGAGCTCCCGGAGCTGTTTCAGAAAGCCATCATTTGGATAAATGGCCCTTTTTTTACGTATTGTCATCAAGGCTTCTAAGATTGTCATGTGATGGAAGATCATCAGATAAGCAGCAACTAGCACAGCTGAGCGACTGATTCCCATTTCACTGCTGACCAAAACTTTCCCTAGAAATAAAATTTAGTAGGTGATTAACTGCTTTCAGTGTCACACAAGGGTATTTTTAAACGGTTTCAGGATCAAATTTCAATTGTTGTTTTCTGGCATTAGATATTTATTTAATTTACCATTAAGACTAATGTATGTGTGTGTATATATAACTTGTTATCTGAGCCTGGGTTTTTAAGTTTAGAGAAGGAAGTTCTCTTAGTTTTTCAAAAAACAAAAAAACTTTTAATTGATTCAGAAGAAAGTCCCTGAATACACATTTGCTTCAAAACTATTTAAAAACAATATTCATATTTAGGGTGGATGCTGGATATCTCCTCATTGTGAGAAAAAAATAAAAAAATTTTGCCATTTTAAATTTAGTGCAATTGATAAACCACAGATGTGAAATTCCATTCAAATGTCATGTTGATTAATGATGTTTGAATCCTTAGGGGATATTTGTTCCATCTTACCAATACTAAATATCCCTGTGTCTCAAATTTTTCCTTTTATTATATGAAAACAAATAATGCAAGCACTGTACTAATTTTCATGCTCCTAGATTAACACATTTGTCTTTCCACAAGCTGATAGAAATATTTAAATGGCACGTTTTCTGTTCATGTTTACATGGACAATAATAACAGGTTAATGAGAAGCAGAAGGAGCACAACTTGTCCCATTTACCTCTATAGGTTAACAGTGCTTCATCAAGAAACTCAGCAGCTTGGCGGAAGTGTTTAGAGATGTCCATGTCTGGGAAATCATCCACCTCTATGCCCAGGTACTGGATATCCATGCCACTGTAGAAGTCTGGTCCGGTGTACACACCAGTGCCATGAGCTGCATTAAGGATGTGTGTAATTCCTAGTCTCTTTAGGCGACCCTTATTCACTGCAACACTCCTTCAAGGCAAAAAAAAAAAAAAAATAGAGATTAGAGACTGGCTTCTATCTTGAGTACTTAAAAGCTAATCTTCCATCCAAAGAGAAAAGAAAAGAAAATTGCTTGAGTTAATAAGAATCTGATAAGGAATTAGTGCAGACCCAGTAAAATTATGCAAATTGATAATACATGTGAGCCACCTCTCAGATGGTTAAAGTAGCATCAGAATTGGAAAGAACAGAGCAGGTTTATTATGGATTGATTGACTGATTTAATTTCTACCCCATCTGTCTCCCTGTAGTGCAACTCAAGGTGGCTTACAAATGGTTTGAAAACACAAATATTGAAAAACTACAGATCTAAAAATCACCTTTTAAAAATAATTAAACATATGATTAAAAAGGCCCAAAATAAAACCCTCTTACAACAAGTTAAAGCACCCACATTTTAACAAAGACATTTTAACCATTGTCTTCTTAAAATCCCTTCTGCAGCAAAAGTTTGCATATTAAAAACCTGCTTAAAAAAGGAAGATCTTTGCATGGCAATAGAAACACAGAAAGGATGGGGACAGCCTGGTCACCCAGGGAAGGGAATTTCATAGCCTGGGATCAGCCACAGAAAAGGCCCTCTCCCATCTCCACATCAAGACTGCATGTATTGATCATTATAATGTTTTCTGCATGTGGTTTTCCTTTAAAAGGGTCTGGGATCTTCAGCTGGTGCAATAGGTTCCCCTTGACATTTTTAGTCTAGTCGTGTCTGATTTTAGGGGGCGGTGCTCATCCCGTTTTCAAGCCGTAGAGCCAGCGCTTGTCCGAAGACAGTTTCCATTGTCACATGGCCAGCGTGACTAGGGGACACTGTTTTACCTTCCCACCGAGGTGGTACCTATTTATCTACTCGCATTTACATGTTTCCGAACTGCTAGGTTGGCGAGGGACTGGGACAAAGCAACGGGCGCTCACTCCGTCACGTGGAATTGATCTTATGACTGCTGGTCTTCTGACGCTGCAGCACAGGCTTCTGCAGTTTAGCCCACAGCGCCACCATGTCCCTTGCTGGTGCAATATGCAGAAGCTATTCTATTAAGTGTCACAGCATTATGGTCCTATGATCCAGACAGTGAAAGACTTGCACTGGTTGCCAGTTGCTTATCAAGTACAAGTCAAGGTTTTGATATTAACCTTTAAAGCCCTAAACTCCTTGTGACATGGTTATCTAAGGGCCGCCTATCTCATCATGAGCCTGTCTGGACTTTAAGATATTTAGGAGAGACCGTTTTTAAAATGCCATGTGTTTCAGAGGCCCATTTAACAAACATGTGGGAAAGAGTCTTCTTCTGTGTGGCTACCAGACTATGGAAGACACTCCTCCCAAGCTGTGATCTGTTTCCATTGTGGCTGAAAGAAATAAAACACATATTTTAAAACTGGCTTATGCTGTGTCTCCTGCACTGTAGTATTGTTTCAACCATATTTTTGTGCATTTTAATTGTTTTTAATGTATTTACTTGTCTTAATGATTTCCCATTTGGGTTGGTTGTATGATTTTACAATGTTTAACTAAATGGGTTTTTTACCTTTTAAAAATTCTTTTTAAAAGTTTGTAAGTTGCCTTGAGTGCCATCTTTTCAAAGAAAGAAAGAAAGAAAGAAAGAAAGAAAGAAAGAAAGAAAGAACCTCATAAGTGGCCTACTGGGGAAATTCTTATTCACTGGGCATTGTGACAAATATAGGAAACAAATCACCTAAAAGTCATCTAATGACCCTCCCTACTCACCTCCAATATTTTCTTTGTATTTGATTTTTTAAATGTAACCTTTGCATTTTTATTGCCTTCTTACCATAAGTTTAAATAGGTAGATGATAGAGATGATAAATATTTTAATTGTTGCCTCTTTTATACAACAAGGCTTGAGATGAGAAATTCATTTCTAGGAATTTTATTCAAACTATTCATACTTACTTTTCTGCTATGAAGACATTTGGCCAGACCTCATCAATAGCATCCCTTGGAGATTCAAGACGGTCTTTCACAAGTGCCCTTTGCAAATCCATGACACAAGGTGTGTTGAATAAGCTGGTGTCATCTATTTTTTCCTTGACCCGATTGTACAGGTCTTCTACCAATAGTTGCTCTGCAGATTCAAGCATTCCTGGACACACGGAATCTACTTTTACCTCCTTTGTCTTTAATTCTGGAATTAATCAACATTTCCATTTTCAAAATTACAAGAAATCTCACTTACCCTTAAAAAGGTCTCTTAAAAAGTGTTCATCTCATCCCATTGGGCAATGCACTGGGAAGCTGCTTTCTACTTAATGAGATGACTAGTTTCTCTACCTATGTATTCACGAAGGCTTTCACAGCCGGGATCTAATGGTTGTTCTGGGTTTTTTGGGCTCTTTGGCCGTGTTCTGAAGGTTGTTCTTCCTGACGTTTCGCCAGTCTCTGTGGCCGGCATCTTCCCAAGCCAACTACACCAGAGCACAGGTTGCTGTCCTTTGAAGATGCCAGCCACAGAGACTGGCGAAATGTCAGGAAGAACAACCTTCAGAACACAGCCAAAGAGCCCGAAAAACCCAGAACAACCATTTCTCTACCAATGATTCCCAACCTTGGGTCCCCAGATGCTCTTAGACTAAAACTCTCAGAAGTCTTTACTGCTAGCTTTGCTGGCCAGGATTTCTGGGAGTTGTTATCCAAGAACATTTGGAGACCCACGGTTGAGAACCACTGCTCTAAACCAGTGTTGTCAATCCCAAATAACAATAGTTCAGAGAGGGATTTCATTAGCAGAGATTCCAGAAACTGAGACCTTCTGCATGTAAATCATGTGTTCCACCAATGAGCTATGGTTTTAGCAATTTGACGGACTGTTACACTTCATCATCCTACCACACAGCAGCAAGAAATAATGAGATGGAATTAAATTGATCACTGAGAAGGTGGCTGAAAGCAGTTTGTTGAACTGTTTGGTAAGACATTTGACTAGTACTTGCACATCATTCCATATTGCACCTTGATGCACCATGACACTTATTATGGTGCTATATTATTTAGCACAGACAGTTCCCATGATCAAGATTCTCCTCAGAAGTAATCCATCCTGACTTTAATTTTTTTTTAAAAAACAACCCTCCCCATTACAGTTTTTGCTTCCAGTAGCTTCTTCACCACCATTACTAATAAAATACCGCTTAATAACCCTTTGTAGCTCAAGGGAGAATGTTTTAATAACTTAATTTATCTCACTTATTTTTCTTTTGTTTAAAATTGGCAAATAGTACTATTTTATGGGTGTTTTTTAAAAAATAAAAAATAATGATTTTCTTATGGGAAGTAAGCACTGACTGATTAGGAAATCCATCAATAATTCTGATACCGGGAAAAATAGGAAGCAATTAGGAAGTTAAAAAAAGCTTCTAATTAAACTCATATTAGGTCTAGAAAGTTACTGAAATAGCAGTCCTGTCTACATTTAAATTAAAAAAAAAAAAGAATTACAGAGCAGGTCTAGAGTGATAGAACAAAAGTGATGAGAGCTCACATTATATGAGTTCTATAATTTAAAAGTGAGTGAAGAAAGAATAACAATTCTAGATTAGATTTTTTTTTGGTATGGAAGCAAGCAATCCCATTTATTAGAAATAAGGATTCTGTAAATTCTCTGTTTATTGTACAGTTTACTTGGAAGGAAGCAGATATCATCTGGTCTACTCCTTCTCTCCAAAATGGTCTAATGAACTCACATATTTCCCTTCAGTTTAAAACCCATTTTCTTATCTTCCTTAACTTTTCCCTCTGCCCCTACCTTCCTTGATGATCTGTTTTGCAGCCACGGCAGATGATAGATGGATGGGCTCCATGAAGATGCTCTCAGTGTCTGTATCTGATATCACCGAGTATCTGTAGATCAATGATAACTGTATGAAGAAAGCTTTGGCAAGTCTTTCGACACAAACCTCTTTGACAGATAGGAGTAGAGTTTTTCAGCTTTTTCAAAACAAGTTAATATAGGGGGAAGTTATGAGGAAGACAGTGGGTAAGTGACAAGGTTATTTTGGTGGCAGGCTCATGTTGGTGTGAGTTGCACACTGTTCAATTTCCATGTAATTCTTTCCTTATTCTTGTCAACATGCTCCTCCAACAAATGCACCAAATTACAATAATACAACAACATTTCAAGAACAGAAAATTAATACTGCCATTTCCATTGTTTTATATTGATGGTGCCACATTGATGCATGAGGAATGATGGGAGATAAATAAGGAAACATTTCATAGAGATTTCCCTGAGGGAAAAGAATGCTTGTATAGACTGACCTCTTTGTCTGTTCCCAATTTATCCTCTGTAAAATGGGAACAGTAATGTTCACGTACTTATGTTAGTAATGGCGATCACAGATATTGTGAAACATAAAATTCTTTGATGTATAGGGATGAAAAAACTTGTGGAACACATTGTGTTGCTAAAAAGCAGAGCTAAGGCACATTTCACCAGGCAGCTCTAAAGCAGATGATGGCTGGCTGCCTCCATTCAGCTCCAGGGTTATTAGCCCATGCCCCCTCCCTAGGAAATAAAGCAGGACACTGAAGAGGATAAAATAAGCAAGCAAAGTCTGAGACATCTCCTGCCCTCAACCAACACGCTCATGTATTCAACACTGTGGTAATGTTAAGGAGCTAAGGATATACTCTCTCTTTTTTATTGTAGTGGATGAGGTTCTTTTCCATCCACCAGAGGGTCCAGACAGCTCTGTGTGTTGTAAACACAGGCAGCTGCATTAATCAAAATTGGTCTCCATAGCAACAGGTCATGAAACATTATATGGACAGCCAGTGGCAACTAAGAAGGCCTGGACAAGCAAGAATTCTGGGCTATCTTGAGTTTAAGAGCACACAATATTTGAGAGCACAGATTTGGGCTGATAAAAAGCTGGACCAAGCAAATTTCTATTTCCTCCCTCAAAAGTAAATAATATTTGCCCTATTTCCCCCCCCCCTTAGCTCTTCCAAAATCAGGACAGCTATTTCATTGAGATTTTTTGGAATACTGTTTAGAATTTACTTGAACAACCCAAATTATCAATATTGAAGCAATTGCCTTGGTTCTCTTGTGCCATGTCAAGGGGAACCTTTACCTTTTTATTTAGATTTTACTTGAACAACCCAAATTATCAATACTGAAGCAATTGCCTTGGTTCTCTTGTGCCAAAGAAGTACCATGTGGGAGGAAACAATTTTATCTCTGTCAGTATCCTCTATATCTGAACTGGAGAATCTGCAGTTCAAGGGCAGCATAAAATCCCCTGATTTCATCTGGCTCTCAGCACCATCCCATTCTCTAGTCATTGTGGGCCCAATCCTTGCTTTTTTGTTTTATTACCCTCTATGAATTACTTCCTTTTCCACTCTAGACCTACTCAGTTGTTGCTTCCCCAGTTGCTCCTTAAAAAGGAGCAACAGATACATCCTTTGTCAGTTGCCAGCTACCCCATGTGGAGAACTGGGTTCTTGCTCATGTGAAGAGTCTACGGGCAAGTAGGAGTTTTCCCTCTTTGAACATTTTGCTCTCTACAATACAAGGAGAAAGTGATGACAGAGAATGGAGGGGCTAGTTACTCTTCTCTAAGCCTGTTGAAAACAACCAGTGAGGGACTTCCAGCTTCTGGTTGATTAGGGAGTTTCCTGGATCAAATTAAGATTTTATATCTCACCCAGTGGTTACAACGATGTTAAATTGGCTGATCTATTGCTTCTTCTTTTGCCATTTGATCCAGGAAACTCCCTAAAGAACCAGCAGGTGGAAACAAGCAGCTGAAACGGCTTGCTTGCAAGTCGTTGGCAGCTGGCAAAAGAAGAAGCGATATATCAGCCAACTTAACATTGTTGTTACCACTGGGTGAGATAGAAAATCTTAATTATATTGTTCTCTCACCATCCCTGGATGGAATAATTCCTTTAAGAGAGAGAAAAAAGTGTCTTTTAGCCCAACCACTAAATTGAGCAGCGGTGGATCTGGAGAAGGGAAAAGAGACACAAGAGATGCAAAGAAAATAAATTGGACATTGACTAAATAATTATACTTCAAGGAAGGAAGTTTAGTAATATTTTGGAGTTAAAATTAAGAAATTCTCCTCTTTAAACTATTTTAGCCTAACTAAGCTGCGAGTTTCAAACTGTTTTGACTATCTACAGAGTTTGCAAAATGCCTAGAACATGACCTTGAATACTCAAACTTGGAACTCTTATTTTGACTCTCCTTTTTTCCCTGAGAAATGACCCAAACATAGACAATTAATTCTGGGAAGTCTGAATACAAGCATTGAGTGAACAGGGCTGCCAACTTATGTCAGAGACTGGTGTCAAATTAACCCTAAAGGTGATCAACTTCCTAAAGTGACTTACTGAAGCAATTACTGGTGGAACTGAACTGACTGCTCTAAGCTACTGGACATGTTTTACTTGGAATACAAATACTTGTCATCTTAGGACATCATGCTACAACAAGGACAATTTTGGGATGAAACAAAATCTACCCTTCAAGCAATCCTAGAAACAGTGAGATCTCATAAAGATGTGAAATCATTCAAGACGCAACTAAAGAACTACTATATTCAGCATGAGACTTGGAATAATGAACAAGGAAATGTGAGGGTGGAGGACGATGTATGCCAACCAACAGAAGGGCTGGAGGAAAGTAGAGAGGAAAAGGCAGGAGATTTAACTCCAACCCTAAAACCAAAGATAATCTTAGCTGCACTAAGGGGAGAAAAACAGCAGAATTAATTAAACATAGCCTGGAAGATTTAATGGAGATAGATCAAGTGCATAAAGATCTATTGGAGATCTATCAACTGTATAAAATGTTTTCAGATGACACAAGGAACAGCAGAATCTTTAGGGAGACAGAAACAAATATTGGGAAAAGACAAATAACAGAAGGAATCACTTAGATGAAAAAGGGGGAAATATTAAGGTGGCTCTCAACACTGAAAGCATGTATATACTTAACTTCTGGAATTGTAAAGGGGCATACCTTATACATTAAAAGGGGGAATTAAACTGAAATAAGGGATTACAAATCAGGGTAAAGTCATAACACGGTGGTTTACAAGATCAATTGAAGCTACATATAAGGATGGAGCAAAACAAATAGTACTTAATGAATATGCACTAGATATGATACTGATATAGACATACTAGAAAATACGGTGATAGAAATGGCTAAACAATTATATAAAGAAATTCGGTATAAAATGGTTTAGATAACATCTATTATGTGTTAGAAATCCACTCAGTTATTAGTGGTATAAAATATAAAGTTCGTTGGTTAAATCACCTCAAAGTTATATAGATATGAAACTGGAATTACTTTTGTTGGGTATATTTCCAGAGGATTTCGAGAGCATTATATATTCTGAGAGCAATATCATGATAGTAGCTAATACTGTATATTAAAATACACAAATGAATGTTTTAGATGTTTAAAAAATGTATAGATTTTGAAGAGATAACCAAGACACAGAAAACAAATAGTTGTGAGCAACCCATGTAACAAGCATGATGTTTAACAAGCATGAATGGAATCTAGGTAGACTGAAAAAAAAAGTTTGAAAAAGAAAGAAAAGAAAACAAACCGATAGATTGAAAAAAATAATAACATGTTTGAAAAAGAAAGAAAAGAAAACAAACCAGTGAGGAAACAACTGAATAGGGCATCTATGCATGCATCTAAGGACTAAAAAACTGATTGGCCGATACAGAAAGAAAGATCTATGCATTCCTACAGTGTTGTAAGCCCTGCACTCTGGGCTCTACTACTGAGCCCTTATCCAGTAAGAGCGCTCACTCCACCCAGTACAAACTGGGGATCCTATCTGAATTCTTCAATGGGTCAAACCTGACTTTCTTCAGAAAAGAGCATGTAGTTCTGCTGTGGACAAACACTTCCATTTACAGTACCAAAGGTCCTTAAACCAAGGAACTATTAAGTGTTTTTCTGACACAATTGATAGGCAGTGCTTGCACATCTCTCTCTCTCTCTCTCTCACTCACTCTCTCACACACAGAGAGAGAGAGAGAGAGAGAGAGAGAGAGAGAGAGAATTTCCACCACCAATTGTGTTTCTCATCTATTTGGTTTTTTGAATAAACCGTGCTGGCTGAATTGTCCTGATGAAGCAAGCTGTAGTCCAATATCCCTAGAGAGGGTTCCCTAAGGGATTTGCGACTTAAAATACCTCAAGCACAGTGTCTTCCCTTTCAAGTTGCCCATACGTTGAGATATTCTGCTGAGGCCCTGCAGAATGGGAAATATGGCATTTAGCAACACAGGCAAGGCTTTTCATCCATGGCCATGTCCACTTGTAGAATGCCTTTTAAAGACAGGCCAGTCTAATCTTGAACTTATGATTTTTATAATGAAAACCCAAAGCAACAAAACAGGAGTAATGCCTCACCCAAAAAGTATATTCCCCAAACTATTATCTGATTTTTATTTTTTTTTACAGAGCAGACAAAACCACTTTTGTTCATTCGGACATTTATAATTCATGTGGATATTAGTTCATTTTAAGAATTTTGTGTTTTATTATTTTTATTACATTTTAACATAATTGGTTGTTTATCCCCCTGAAATCCTAACAAATAGCAGAAGATACCTGTTATGAAGAAATTAACTGAATAAATATGAAATATTATATTTTTGAAGATAATAAAACAAGTAAGTGTCAAACTGAAGATGTGTACTCTATACCTAAAGAATGGAATGAGCTGTGATGAATAATTGTTTAAGGATCACTTCACTACTCCATTTTTTATGTGTATACAAAAAAGGTCTGGTGTTATTCAGATTTACTTGGAGATAAGTCCCACAAAATTCAATGTGACTTTAAGCAACGGAGAATTAATCTGTGTATCTGATTGGAAGGGCTGTATCTCTGAGGATATCCAACTACCCTGTCCCCCCCCCCCAAAATAAGACCTAACCTGAAAATAAGCCCTGGTATGATTTTTCAGAATGCTCGTAATATAAGCCCTACCCCCAAAAATAAGCCCTAGTTAAGTGAAACCCCACCCTCCACCATTGTGCAGCAACCAGAAGATGACATGACCCTATTTGGATAAATGTAGGTTGTTGTAAATGAAAAAAAATACAGTAAATAAATAAAATATGCCCTAATGCATTTTTGGAGCAAAAATTAATATAAGACCCTGTCTTATTTTCAGGGAAACATGGCAGAGGAGGAAAAACAGCTCAATGTGAAAAAAATAAATAAATAAAATATGCCCTAATGCATTTTTGGAGCAAAAATTAATATAAGACCCTGTCTTATTTTCAGGGAAACATGGCAGAGGGAGGAAAACAGCTCAATAAGAAGAAATACGTTCTGCCTTTCACACTTTGTTTGACCTGGGTACAGTATGCCTCTGAATACAAGTTGCTTGGGAATATAAACGGTGTGTGTAGGGATGTTGTGCTGATGGACTATTGTGCATTTCCCGAAAGTATTGCAAGTTGTTCACTGGAGTACACACTTCCAAACAACGAAATGTCATCCACCTCATGCACGTACACATGCACACACACGCACACAAAAGGCAGAAGAATTAAAAGGTATTTTCAAGCTGCTACTCTTGATAAGAACTGTGGCTACGACATCAGTATTTAGAGGAACCTCAAGTTCTGTCCTCTATGAAGTGGTAGCACCATGTATTTCTCTGACCTCCTTGATAAAGGAAAAAGCCTGTTAAAGCAATGGGGACAAAAAGTACCTTGACAGTTTTCCAGCCATTGTCTCTTGATTTCTCTTAAGTTGTGGATTAGTGTCCCAATAACAACTACTGTCTCATATACACTTATAAACTCTTATATATTTAAAGGAATCCAAAACATTTTTCAAAAAGTAATGAAAAGTGTGTTTAGGGTTTACTAACAATGCACATGCAAATGAGGTATATGCAAAGAAAAAGCTGAGTTTGGCCAAGTGTAGCTAAGCTGCAGCAAAGACAGATGGCTTGGCTACCGGTGCTCCCTCTCATTGCCAATCATGGGAGCACAGAGGGATGGCGGGGGGAATGGATCAGAGCTACAAAGCACGGTCTTTTCATTTCTCTAGGAAGAAACATAACAATACTCCAGAAAATTGAATTCCTTTCAACACATGCAGGAAAACACTCAAGGGATAAGGGACTTGTGCTTGCTATCCTACGTCTTGTCCTTCAAAGCATCATTTTAAGATCTGAATAGAGCCTGCAAGTTCCCAAGTGTATGTGCATAAGTTCTGTTTCAACCTTCAGTGGAATGTGTGGAAGCTGGACTGGATATAGCAGGTGAGGTCCAATTCTTAGTGCATTCATAGGATGTGCTATCATCTCTGTCTTATTGCGCAAACAGCAATGTGTAAGTGAAGATATCAGGATATGTTCAACTTGTGAAGCACAGCTTTTGCTAACAATTACCCAGTTAACAAGAACTCTTGTTTATTTATGAACACTGAAAACAAAGTCATGGCAAACTAAAGCCTGAGATGAATGAGATTAAAGTGACTAATGGGGAAATAGCAACACGTGAGGTGAATCCAGCCCACTAGGTTTCCTTCGCCAAACTTGAATCCTGTTTACTCGCCTTCTGTTCTCACAACTTCAAAGCCTTGTTTCCCTGCTGTTCAGCTTCCCCCTCCTCCCAGTCATCTGTGGTGGGAGGAGATAATATGTCTAGGGATTCTACGTTCCCTTGTTGCTTAGTTAGAAAAACATATGAGAAATAGGGAAGAGAGGGATTAGCTGTCACTGAATTGCCTGGAAAGGAGAGGCAACTTACATCCTCCAGAGGCAGCAGGCTTTCTCAGCCTGGGGCGAGGAAGTATGCTCCCCGTGTGTCTGAATGGGAGTGGAATGTCTCTGGATGTATGTGGATGGGTATATAAGCATCAGAGATGCATGATTCTGGGAGTCGTAATGCATGAACAGAAATGTTCCATCTCTGCTATGTACAGATGTACAGTTGGATACATATATTTTAATGAGACATGTATCCATATGGTCATACCTACTCTTAGCTTTGCTACCTCCCATCTCTGCCATAAGTTTCCCCATAAGTGAATGTGGCCCTTGCACGGAAAAAGATTTCCTACTTATGGAGTAATCTCCTTGACTAAACTCACTTATACCACCTGATCCCCTCTTTCTCTTGCATTAACCAGCAGTATTCAACAGCAATATTGCTGTTGCTGCTGAACTAGAATAACAAAGCTACCTCTCTGAAAACTTCAACTGTTGTTTTTAACACATGCAAAAAGGTAGGAAGTTGCAATAGAACAGGAGATGACACATCTCCTGTGGTGTACTCGCTAGGTTGAATAAGTTTCTTAGCCTTATCAAGCAGCTAACAAATTCTACCAAGATGTAATGCTTTCCTTGACAATTTTTTGATTCAAGGATCACTGTCCTAGGGAATGCATACCATCAAAAGTCATTAGGGATAAAAATTAAAAGCATCTTCCTCTAAAGTAGGGATGTGTGGATTTTGTTAGTTGCTCTCCATTAAAATGGCTTAGTAAAACTGGAACAATAGTCAAATGAAACACTAGGTTACAAAAAAGCATACACACCATATACCTTGAAGCATCTTGCATTTATTTCTAGTGCAAAAAATGAAAGAAAAATGAATAAATTTTTTCCAGTGCAGCAAAATCATGCACATATTTACTGAGAAGCAGATCCCACTGAGTTTAGTGGGTCTAACTTTCAAGTACACGGGAACAGGATTTTGTACTTAGAACTGGTCCATGCAATAGTGTCGTCTGTGATTGTTCTAGGATTGTTCTAGTATTTTTTTAATGTTGCAGATTGGAATAATCATCTTGGTATTTTCATTCAGACAGCGGGAGGGTAATTGTTGCTTGAGATGTTGGGTTGTCCCAGTAGCAAATGTCCACTCACTTTCCCTCTATTCTTGTTCTCAAAACTGATCACCCCCCCTTTTTTTGCCTGTCTTCTCACTGCACTTTTATCCCCTTGTTTAATTTGCCCATCATTCCTGGAGTTTTGCATTTTACCTACTTTGCTCTGTGATAGTATTCTCCTTTTAATTTTGTTTGCTTGATTTTTTAATTTTTTCACTGTTGTGCATTTAATTCATGCTTGGTATATTTTATAATATTTTCATATTCTAACTTATAGTGCCTAGGTGCATTCATGCAGCACTTATTCATACAAAAGACAACACACACACACAAACAACTGAAGGCAGCAACAGTAGATGTCTCAGCAATACAGGGAGAAAATTGAACTGAACAAACAGGGGAAAGTGGTGCAAAGATGTAGAAGGCTAGAGGCTGACAAGCAGAAACACACTGACAAGAAATTGTCATCTGATGTTGTTGTTATGTGCTGTCAAGTCACCTCTGGACTTGTAGCGACTCTATAAATGAGCAGTCTGAGAGCTGTTTCATCAACAGCCCTGCTCATCTCTTGTAAACTGAAGTCTGTGGCTTCCTTTAAAAAAAAACCAGTCCAACTTGTATTTGGTCTTCCTCTTTTCCTGCTACCTTCCTCCTATCCCAGCATTATTGTTTTTTCCAGAGAATCCTGGCTTCTCATGATGTGTCCAAAGTAAGACAGCCTCAGCTTCAGCATTTTTGCCTCCAGAGATAGTTCAAGCTTGATTTGCTCTAGACCCCACTTGCTTGTCCTTCTGACAGTCCAGGGTATCTACTAAGCTCTTGTCCAGCACCACATTTCAAATGAATCAATGCTTTTCATGCCAACTTTCTTTACTGTCCATCTTTCACACCCATACATAGTGATCAGGAATACAATAGTGTGGATAATCTTCATCTTGGTCTCCAGTGACATATCCTTACACTTGATGGATCACCTAATTCCTTCATTGGTGCCCTTCCAAGTTTCAGACTTCTTCTGAGTTCTTGGCTGCAGTCTCCATTTGGATTGATGATTGAAGCAAGGTATACAAAATCTTTAACAATTTATGCTTCTTCATTGTCATTATTAACAATTCTTCTGTAATCATAATTTTTGTCTTCTTAAGCAGCTTTGGATCCAATCTGGGACATAATCTAATATGACACACAGTTCAGCATAGATAGACATGAACAGATACAATACTAAGGTCCATGTGAGCAGATTGTACATTAAGCAAATCGATCCAATGCAGAATAAAAATATGCCACCAATTGGCAATAGTGTAAATTAGCCCAGAAGATAAAGAGTATTCTGTTTTGACTGAATAGTTAGCACCAGTTTCAGCCCTTTGTCATGTGGACAGCAGGAAAAATATTGGTATCATGGATGCAAGGACAGTAAAACAAATGCTGAGTATGCACACAAGATACTGAGACAGAATGTCTTGAACAAAAGAAGGTGCAGATCACTGTTTTGGTGCATTGAGAAAGGTTAGCTCAAGCAGACTAAAATAACACTGGTGAAAGAGTGGCAATTTGAAAGTTATGCTGTTTCACTCAGGATCCTTTTTTTACAAGACCCAACAATCCTGCTGCATATCTCAAATCTCTGTAACCAATCAAATCATAGCCTTTGAACCCAGACTTGTTACAACTAAGGCAAGACAGTAAAGGACAGCAGTTTGACTGGGCTCTGCTTCTTCAGTCTTGCCTTAAGAAATATGGATAATGCTTCCCCAATAACCAAGAGTATTTGTAGAGACCCTCTGTGAAATCAGTTAGATTAGCTAACTGCACCATGCCTTCTGAAAAAGAGCACAAAAGATTCTTGGTCAAATTTGGATGATGTTCTGGGCTAAGTGTTAAAAAGGGAGGTGAGGAAAATTGGCTGCAATTCATTTCATGCATTCAGAGAAGGGGTGGCGGCTTGGACAACAGAACAGAAAAGAAATCCAACACTCACCGGCTGGGTGAAGGACTTCGAAGATAGTGGGCTTGCACTGCTTTCACATCAGGCCCTTCTTCATCTGGCACCACCTGCTCACCATCTGAATCCATACCATTGGCCATAGCTGCTGTGGGAACTGGCTGGAGTCAGGGAGAGGGTAGGATTAGAGGGATCAGAATCAATATACTAAACCACAAGAGCTCTATAATGGGATCCACCTGTCAAGTTGCACAAAGCAGTTCAGTATATTTTAGAAGAAGGGGAGGGTAAGTGCAAATATGAAGCATGCAAAGCTTGGAAATTTTACTTTTTGAATTCCCAGAATCAGTATGAGACTTGAGGAGCTGCAGTCCAAAACAGGAAATTTCCCAAGCTCCGGAACTATGATGACTTTGCCTTCCATAGTAAAAACAGTCCAAACAGTTAAGGCCACACCTCTGAGTTCAGAGACCTTTAAAGTTTAGGACTCAAGATCAACCTATAGGAGATGCTCAGCTTGCATATAGAATGTGAGAGTACATTAGCTCCCAAGTGACAATTCCCCAGGGTAGGGTTATCTGTTCAATCAGACTTGGATAAGAAGCTTGTCTTTATCTCCCAATGACCAATCATAAAAAGCAAGTTAATTTGCAAAATACAGAAGCAAAAAACTAGTACCAGGACAGACATCATTTGCTGCATAAGGAAGCTTCATGTCTAAATGTGGAGCTGTGCATCTTGTTCATCTTGACTCTGAGTTTAAAATGTCTTTTTTCATGAGCTGATATAATCAGATGGAAAGAAAAGAAGGTGAAAAAACTTTCAGGATTTCCTAAGTAAATGCAGAAGGCAGCTACAGTATATCCATCGCCAACCCACTAGCTGTTCTTCAGTCACAGTCACACTAACAGACTATTAATATAAATAGGTCTATCTGCTAGGGACACCTGCCAAACCCCAAGTAGTTTTCCTTTACAAGAATGGCTGAAGTCTTGTTGCTTAGTGTAGTAAGTCATACTAGTGTAGGCGCACTGAATCAGTGGGGATTCGGTAAACCAATTCCTCTGTAGGTTCCACTAATTCAAATGGGCCTATTTTAATTGTGATTTATTTTAGCATAGAAAGTCACACTAGAGTTTTGTTGTTGTTTCGTCATTTAGTCATGTCTGACTCTTCATGACCCCATGGACCAGAGCACGCCAGGCCCTCCTATCTTTCACTGCCTCCCGGTGTTGGGTCAAATTCATGTTGGTCATGTGGATGACACTGTCCAACCTTCTTGTCCTCTGTCATCCACTTCTCCTCTTGCCCTCACACCTTCCCAGCATCAGGGTCTTTTCCAGGGAGTCTTCTCTTCTCATGAGATGGCCAAAGTATTGGAGCCACAGCTTCAGGATCTGTCCTTCCAGTGAGCACTCAGGGTTGATTTCCTTCAAAATGGATGGGTTTGTTCCTTTGCAGTCCAGGGGACTCTCAAGAGTCTCCTCCAGCACCACAATTAAAAAGAGTCAATTCTTCAGTGGTGAGCCTTCTTTGTGGTCCAACTCTCACTTCCATCCATCGCTACTGGAAAAACCATAGCTTTGACTATGCAGACCTTTGTTGGCAAGGTGATGTCTCTCCTTTTTAAGATGCTGTCTAGGTTTGTCATCGCTTTCATCCCAAGAAGCAGATGTCTTTTAATTTCGTGGCTGTTGTCACCATCTGCAGTGATCATGGAGCCCAAGAAAGTAAAATCTGTCACTGCATCCATATCTTCTCCTTCTATTTGCCAGGAGGTGATGGGACCAGTGGCCATGATCTTGGTTTGTTTTTTGTTTGTTTTTATGTTGAGCTTCAGACCATTTTTTGCACTCTTTCACCCTCATTAAGAGGTTCTTTAATTCCTCCTCACTTTCTGCCATCATTTAAATCAATGGAACCTACATAGGAACGGACTCACCAAATCCCCATTGATTCAATGGGCCTACACTAGTTCTGTTGTAATGCAGTTAATATTCACTAGAATTTCAGCTAGTGAATATTAACTACTTGACTATAGAACTATAATTATTTTAAAGCAGTGGTATCCAACCTTGGGTCCCCAGATGGACTAAAACTCCCAGAAGGCTTCACCACTAGCAGTGCTGGTCAGGAATATCTGGGGACCCAAGATTGGGAACCAGTTATAAAGTATAAAATATAATTACAGAAAGAACCAAAAACAAAATGCTCTTTACAATGCAGTTCCAGGCCTATTTACTCAGCATTAACTCCCGTCTGCTCCCATATGTGTGAATAAGGCTATAACCAAAAATATACTAACTATATGGAATGTAATTTCCACTTATTTAACAGTGGGCCTTTAAAATTTTGTCTCCATACTGAAATCACTTTCTTTCCCATCCCCAATATGAGGTAGCACCCTGGTTTGGGATCCTCTTCTGGGTTTCCTGTTAATCTTATTTGAAGTTTTTAACTAGTTTTAATTAGCCTATTCTGAGGACTTTTATATTGATACACACACACACATTAAGGTTGTTGTTAAATGTGTTGCATTATATATATGATTGATTTTAATGGAATGCACTCTGGTGTAGAGCACAATATAAATAAATATCATTCTTATTATTAATCTGAGACACAGCAATTGTATTGTCAGGTTTCTTGTTTGTAATTCTTTTGGTCTCTCTGTAAAAAGATCTCCATTTCAGCCCCCAAAGACCTCTAGCTTATCTTCCCTTGCATAGTTCCCATTACCACCCGCTTGTAACTTGTCTCAAATGTCAGGAATGCAGTCAGGCCTCCATAAGGAAGGAGTGGGTTGTTGTTACCACAAAATGACACAGAAATATCAAACACAGAAGTTATGAGACACCTTTCACCCATAAGCAACTTACTGTTTGTGCTGGGGAAGGGAGCGTCTCCTGATAGGACATTTTTCCTGAAGCAGTGAACTGGAAAAGTGGGAAATCGGTGCTAGGATAAGGGCAGTTGCCTTCCTTCTCTTACTCTGATTTCTTCTCAAAGAGGCAGGACAACTGTCAGTGTCAAACTTTATCAGCCTTCTAAATATAGCATTTCTAGTCATTGCCTGTTGGGTTGCAGAAGCTGAATTGCAGTGCCTCACAGACAGAGCTTGACAAAATCACTTTTTTTGGATTACAACTTCCAGAATCCCTTGGTGAGCATGGCTAATGAACTTTTAGTTATTTCCCCACTAAATCAAGGAACTTCTTTTAGCTATAGGGTGGACATTATATGTGTGATGCTTTACCCTGTAGATGTCAAGAAGGGAATTTCTTCCCTGCCAAAAATTTTCAGATCCTCTACTGCTCTTCTCTTTTTCGTCACAAGCTGCCACAAAATAAGACAAAATACTGAATAACAGTTAGAAACAAGACTGTTTTTTAAATTTTCTGTATTGCATCAGATGGGTATTTTAATACAAACTGCTTAGAGAGTTTATTACATTGACCAGCATAAAATCTTTCTTTCTTTCTTTCTTTCTTTCTTTCTTTCTTTCTTTCTTTCTTTCTTTCTTTCTTTCTTTCTTTCTTTCTTTCTTTCTTTCTTTCTTTCTTTCTTTCTTTATTTATTT